CTAGTGTAGAACCTTCAGACAGACTACTTAAATTAGACAATAACTAAAGTTGTACAAGTGGCTAGTTGTACACTCTTTTCATGGTTACCTCTTGTGGTTGTAAAGCATCTATTAGCCAAATATACTACTAATAAAATCCCGAGTCGCAAGTATTTACCTTAATATTTAAAAAAAAAAAAAAAAAATAACTATATTATACTATTTTTATTTTTGTAAAGTTTACTCAAATCTCAGTATTTATCTTTCTGACATCTTCTTTATTATTTCTATTAATTACAACTCAAAACTGACAGAACTCTTCAAATTTCTAATTTAGATAGCCTAATATAATATATTTTAGTATCTTTTTCTTTTAGTAATTTTGGCAGACTAGTTGGTTATATGCTTTTTTATATATTTTGTTATCTGATTTGTTTGCCTATTTCTATAAAAGTGTTTTATAAGCTTTTATTAGTTTAACAATAAAGTCAAAAGTTTGTGCTATCTTTTTACTTAAAATTTTTTAAGTTGGATTCTGTCTCTTTAGTTTTTTTAGTTTTCTGCATCTGGTAGTCTTATTATGAGTTTGTATTAAAGTTTTATTCAATATCAGTTATTAATATTCTTTTATATATATATAATATTATGCTTTGTATAGATGCTTCAAGCTTCTAATAATAAGTAGAATCTAACTTGGTGTATCTAGATTACAACTGCATAAAGCCAATCAATTGACAGAAGACAGTTTCTATAATACAGATTAATTTTTAAATTATATTATAAATAAAATTTTAACTTTAAATCTGTCACTTGAAGAATAACAACTATTCTCTATTAGTTGTATACTTATTTTTGTATAAGTTTTTTTTTTTTAAATATTAAAGTGAGTACTTGTAACCCAGAATTTTATTGATAGTATATTTGGCTAATGGTTGCATTATAATCACAGAAGGCAATCATAAAAAGAGTATACAACTAGCTACTCATACAACTTTAGTCATTGTTTAATTTAAGTAATTCATTTAAAGGTTCTATACTAGTTGCTATATCTGAAATCTGCCTGTAGGTTCCCTATTTAACTATTCTAGTTTTCATATCTACCTACTTATCTCTGCCTACCAATGACCTCAGTTGATATTGATGAAAATATACTATGATCACTAAGTCTTTAAAGCAGTTCACTTATATGAAAAACCTTTAACCTTGTACTAAACTTTTCAGAATCTTTTGTATCCTATTCTTATAGATAACTCGGTATTGCTATGACTGAAACTAACACTAGTGGTCAGGATGTATTATTAAACCATTATGCTCTTGTAGAGTTCATTCCAACTTTGATACTGACTTCACAACATATTCTTATTATTTTGGTATTAAATTTAAGTTTCACTAAGCTTTCAAACCAGATAGTCTAAAAAGGCAGATCATAACTATATATTTCTGATTTACATGTTTGTTAGCATATAACTTTTTTCTTCCTAGCAGCCTGATTGGTTCTATTTAGTTCTTTCTCAAAAGTCAGCTCTTTGTCTAGTTTCACAAGTTCTAGCTCTATTTCATAAGTCTAGTCTTTACAGTAGCACTATCAAAGGTTTAGGTTATCTCTTTACTTGGGTCTTTCAAGTAGGCTTTCATCTTCTTATCTAGTTTCTGTAATTTACATAACCTAAGAACTTATCTTAGGTTCATACTGCCTAGTACTGGTTTGTGTTTCTTTATACAATGTTGCATGAATGCCTAGACCTTTCAGTTATGCTGATATAATATAGGTTACAGGTGTTTTATCTCAACTAATCACAAAAGACAGGTAACTGTAATACAAAAAGAATTGCAAATTTTCACTATTACTAAGATTTGAACTCTAGACCTGTCACTTGGGAGTTGACAACTTATTCACTTCACTAGGTCACTACACTTCTATTTTTGTATAAGTTATATATATATATAATTAAAAATACAAATAAGACCTGGAGTTGATAGCTATAGGATAACTTTCTCATAATTAGTCGATCACATGAAATTAAAAATACTTATTATGATTGGTTATCGATCATGTGAAATTGAAATGCCTATTATTATTGGTTAAAACTTTTACAGTATTGCAATTTTATTAATTTATTAATTTATTACATATCAATATATAATTTTATTAATTTATTACATATACATATAATCTTATTAATTTGTTAATTTATTATTAATTTATTATAATTTTATTAATTTATTACAATTCTTTTATTTTTTGTAGAAGATTTTCAAGTTTTTTATTTTCATTATTGTTAATAATAAGTTTAACTTCTTTATCTACTTCTTCAGTTTGTTGTAATTTATTATTTTTTTACTAGACTTTTTTTCCTTTTCAGTTAGGCACTCAAGAAGTTGATCCACATTTTGTTGTATTCCATCTTTCAAGAATGCAAGACAAGGCAGACAGTTGTAGTTAAATTCTTTCAAGCATTCTACGTGATATTTGTAACTGCATGCTAATATTTTCAAATCAGGAAATAGCAAGTTAGTATATACATGTTTATTGGCTTTGCTACAAAGAGAATAATCACACAAAATGAATTAATTAGGTTTTTGCAATGTACTAAAGTCTAGAGGAAAATGATTAATATTTGCAACAATTCCTATAGTCAGCATCGATATATTAGAACTATTTATGATCTTTTTTTTTCTTTTTTTTTTCTATTTAGTATTGTCGATTCATTTAAACTTAGACTCATAATGCCGTCTGTAGCAATATGATTATAGATGTTAATAAAGCATTTTAATAAAAAACATGATGCTTTTTCAGTATAGCTACTCAAATCTCTATGATTCAAAGGATATCTTTTCCATGTCGACTTATATTCAAGCAATTTACTAAGATGTTGTTCATGTTTAAGAAAATTGATAAAATGTGCTTGACATTGTAAATGTTCTGCATCATTATGCTTTTGAGTAGTTCATCTTAAAATACTGTGAAATAATTCGACAGGAGCATCTGAAAATTTTGGTAAATGCATTTTTATAATTTTTAAAATAGAATAGTTAATACATGTCTAATATGAAATATCCAACAAGAACATTAGTGGTGCTTTATTATAATTATGATGTTCAAACCATAAAAAAGTCACTCATGCTCTTATTACTGATTTTTCATAGTCTTGCCATTCACTAGTATGAAAAAAAATCACATATATGTCGAGAACAAGCGAAATTAAATTATCAACTAAGTCTTTTAATATTAAATATTCAAGATCTTCACAAAGGCCAAACTTTCTCTTAATGGTATCCGAAATTTGAAGCCAACTATGACAAGTTACCTCAAGTAACAAGTTAATTTGCCAAGGCTAAATATTGATGCCGATCCCCTAGTTTGATTAAATAAATAATTATACAATAAAAAAAAAAATGAATGATATTGTGTATAAATAAGTTCATGGCTATTCAAATGGCCTGATAATTAGAATAAATGATAATATGTTTTAAGAAATATTTAATTCACTTCCATATTTCAAAAAGTAAGAGATTGCAGTTCTAACAAATATTTGATCAAGCCAATCTGCAACAAGAGAAAGAATATAACCCAAATCTAAATATTGCTGAATCGTATTTACCTTTTTAATAAAAGTAAAACTTGCCAAATAATCGTTAATAGAATGCAAATCATTTTTTACAAGATCAACAAGATGATATTATTTAGTGTTCAGTCTTTTATCCTCTCTTTAAGCCAAAGATCATAGCTATGTACTGTTAATTCTTCCATAGTTTGTTCTTCGTTTATACTTACCCTATTTTTTCATCTTTCATTAAAAGGTACTCTTAACAATACCATAAATCGATTTTCTAACTCTATCTTTAGAGAATCTGCATCTACAAGCTTTGAATTGTAAATACTTTCAAAATTACAATTCATAGAAATCGATAATGTTCTTTTAATCAGATTTAATAAAATTGTTACCATGTTAGCTACTGTTAATGTCTTATTATTCTTTGGCACTCGATTAGTATGTATATTATGATAATCATCTACATTCAAAATTATAGCATTTTCATTATAATTTTTAAAATCATCACTTACTAAAACCGTATGATCCTTAGATATTTCTTTTTTTTTACACCAAACAGTTTGCATTATTGATGTAATACCAAGGTTTGCTAAAGCATTAATCATTGTATCAGTTGTATCTGTAGAGTTAAGATAAAGAGCTAGATCTCGCTTGGCATTAATAATAAATTTATTACACAAACTGCAAGTATATAGCAAATACAAAGCAATTGTAACAAAATTTTAGAGCATGATTCAGGCTTTTTTTGAGATAAATTTGTTGACAATATGAGTTCATCAAAAAAAGCTGCTAGGTGGATATTCTTTTCTTTTATATAAGCATAAAATTCTTCAAAAATCTTAAACGCTGACAATTTCTGTACTACTTTACACTAATATAAAAGATCTGTTATAGTTTTAATTGCATTTGAAAAGGATATTACCTTTGAATCATCTTTTTGAAAATCAGCTACCACATCCATATATTCTTCTGTTATATCTAAAATTTGAATATTAGTCATTTGGGAATGCTATTTTAATTGAGCTGAAGGTTTAACAATTATTCTATTATAGCACCACTGACAGATCACATTACCAACTTTAAGATAAGCTGATAAAGTATTATTTTGTTGAGCTTTTTCTAAAACCCACTCAGTTATGCTTTTTCTGGGCTGATTTGGAGCTTTAACACACACAGTTATTGCACATTGTTGTTCTTCAGGGTTGAAATCTATTTTTTAATGAGGAGTATTTAAATTGCTAAGGATCACAGAGATACTCAAGATACTTGAAGCTTCTTTTGTAAATAGTCCTTCGTTAATATTTAAATGACAGTTTTACTTTTTTTTTTTTTTTTTTTTTTTATAGGGGGTTGTAAAAATACTTTAAACTGTATAAATTCAATTGAATAAAATTGACCAATTATGAGAAAGTTAGCCTATAGAGTTGATAGTGCAGTAGTTAGTACTTTCAGGTTATATTCACAAGATTGCTAGTTCAATTCCAACTAAAAAAAAAAACTGTATCAGGATTACAAATGCTTATAGTCTTAAGGGGATTTTCTACTTTTATTATCGAACAAGAATATTACAGCAACAAACAAGTTGTGTGACATAGCCATAGAGTTACACAATGTGCAGATAAGAAAATAATCTAACAAAAAATATTAATAATATAAGGGTTTTCAAATTAAGAAAAAATTACAAAAAAGATAGTCCAAAAGAAGACAAAACCTATAAGGTTATGTTAATAGAGAACTGTGAACTTTGAAGTTAGGGGTCCTATACTGTGAAGCCAGAGACCTGGGTTATTATAAATAAACATGTTAGTATATAGTATAAAGGAACTAGTGAACACTACTAGTAATGTATATAGTAACAATATATGTAAACTTGCAAGAACCAACTTAATAAAAAGAGCATTATCTGCACCTCTAGTTGTAAGAACAACAGGAATTTTCAAAAAAAATATATATATACAAATAAAAAACAATAATTACTATTAATATTAGTCTTAAAAAAACAAAAAAAACAAACTATATATAGTTATTAATAGTTTAATTATTAAAACTTTTTTTTTGTTATATTTAAATTTTAAAATCTAATAATTTTTATATAAAAAAATATTTATTATTATTAATTTATATAAATTAAATAATAAATTTAATTTTAAATATAATTATTTATTAATAAATTTATAATATTTTTTTATTAATATTAATAATAATGCTTCTTATAGTATTTTTTTTTAAATTTTATTATAAAATTTATTTTTTATTATTTTTTTAAATAAAAAATAATTTATTTAATATTTATAAACTATAAAATTTAGTATATTTTAGTATTATAATATAAATAGTAAAA